CCATGAAGGAAGACACCAAAATCTGCCCAATGGGAAATGTCTACTGGAAGAGACACTCTAGTTTTCCATGGGAGTTTTTCTTTTTCTTTTAATCCTCACCCCCCAAAAAAACCGGACACCCAGGCTTGTGGTCTGACTAGGAATTGAACCCATGACCTTTCAGTTTATGGGATGATGCTCCAACCAACTGAGCCACACTGGCCGGGGCTCTTTTCACTTTATGTGCAGCGCCATGTGACATTTCTCTAAGACCTCAGATGTCCCACACATTAAGGAACTTTTATTTTTTAAGAAATCAGAGAAAATTGGTGATTTGGGGACCCATACTTATCAGATTGAGAAAATAAAAGTAAAAGTATCCTTTAATGTATCTGGCAATCCTCCATGATGTCAATTTATCTTATTGTAAAACCGAGCTAGGGGTCGACTTGTGCTTTGTGACTCTCTGTGATGAGTTCAAGTTTGAGGTCATCTCAGAAAGATGCTTCATAGCGTGCATATTATTTCTTAGGGCAGCTGGTTATAAAAGGGGATCATCTCCCTTGAATCACGTTAGCCACACATAAAAGCAAAGAAGATCTTGGAGGTTAGACTCCAGGATAAAGGCCCTAGAATAACTTCTTCAAGGCTTCTCTTCATTATTCCTTCCTGTTACTATCAATGGTGTGCTACGTATTCCCTCCCTTCCCCCTTCTCTACAAGGTTTTGTCTCTCACTAATGGGGACCACTACCGGCATTCCACAGCATAAGTAATGGAGCGAGCCGTGCTTCCTAAGGATGGGATTATGATAGCCCATTGCAAGCCTGGCCTCTGTTTCGCTCAACCCATAATATTCAGGAGTTAGTCATACCTCTTCCCAAACCCCACTGGCATTTCCCAGTGACTTTATTTTTGAAATGAAAATGCAAGTGGAGGAGCAAGTATCAAGTTAATGACATTTAGCTGAAAACCAAGACAGGAAACTTACTTCTAAGTATGTTTTTTGATGGGGATGAGAGGAATACTCTCAGATACTTCAAAGAAAGGTCGGGTGTTATGGACTCTCCTTAACTTCTCATGAACTGCCCGACCCCAGAACATTTTCTTCTGCATGGCAGGCCTTGAGGGGAGGCCCTCTCTGGAGTTTTCGTGTCCAGTCCTTATGTCATTACTGGCTGAGATCACATGGAACCAGCAGTCTTCAGGGCAGACTTTCGGACCCTAGCAGCTGAGATGGGGAATGAGAAGGAGCTGGTGCAGTCTCCTTCCCAGCCTGAGTCAGGGGAAGGAAAGAGGCTGCAGGGGAACATCTAGCCCCAGGGCCTGTGCTCAGCTTCTGGGCCCCACCCACATGCTTTGCGTTTCTGCAATTCCGAACTCAGGGCCTCCAGAACAGCCCTGTCTGCTTTTGGCTGGGCCCACACCACCTGACAACGGTCAGAAGGCTTTGGGGTGTTACAGTTGGTCTTCCTGCCTCCCAACAGATGTGACTGCACCTGAAGCCCAGATACGGAGACAGCATGCTTGGTGGCCCTTCTCCAGTCCTTATGTTTAACTCCTCTCCTCACATTCTGCCTCTGCCTCCCAGCCTCGCCTAGGTACCAGAAACAGTTCTTTGTGACCTAATGAGGGAAGATAAAATTGTCTGCTAATATGCTCTGCCTTGAAAGATCTTCCCCTTCGGACCACGTCCCTGATAGAGCAGAAAGCTGGGAGGAACAGAGGTGCACTTTGCTTCTTGTCGGAAGCTGGCCAAAGGGCACTAAAGGGTGAGAGGTGGACCATGGTCCGCTGAGCTCCCCCAACACCATGTTGAGGGAGCCCAGCAGAGGAGGCTGAGTTGGCACAATAACCTTCAGAGGTCATGGAATCCACCTGCCTGCCTCCTTGCAGCACTGGCAGTTAACAAACAGTGACTTTGACCTTACATTTCCCCAAGTCATCTAGGGGAGGACCTTCAAAGATATGAGTTAGGAGTGAACAACATGGCATTGTCCCTTTTTTGGGGACAATGCACAGGACCCCACGATTCTCTGCCCAAACATCCCCAAGCTTGCTCCCAGCCCGTTTTTCAGGTCAGCCCTTCTAAGGGTGACTCTGGTGCTGGTACCTGCACCCCAGTCTTCAGGGTGGGTGTTGGGGCAGCAGGGAAAGAACTTGGATGTGAGAGCTGGGGGTTCATATGGACACAGAAGGGATCCCTGCTCAGAGGGGGAAGGGGAAGGGAGGGGGAAGGAGGGTCCAAGAGTGGGCTGGCTCTCTCGGTGCTGCCACATTCTGACCAGGAACTCTGAGGAGTCCAGGCGTTCTAAATTTAAGCCTTCCAGGTTGTCCTACAGGTATTTTTGTCAAGGTGGGAGGACAGAACATACTTTACTTATTTTTAGCTTGATTTATAACTTGATGATATTTAGACATATGGTTTGTGGGCTCCATCTGTCCTCTTGTCTTGGGGCCAATGACAGTCCACACCCGGCCTACCACCTTCCGGGAGAGAAGGCTTTGAGCCTGCCTGGCTCGGTGGTCCCACTGAACCCACGCACTGAACAGCCCCACTTCCAACCCAATCTCCAAGCTGCCCTAGTTTGGCTCCTAAGAGTGGTTCTATCTCACAGGACATTGAGTAAAGAATTCATCCCGATGGCCATGTTTTGCACAAACCTGACACTAGTTTTCACATGTGTTGCTTAGGGTATAAAATGGAAGGTAAGTTTTTTCTAGCTTCCAGGAACCATTAAACTTCATTCAGTTGAACTACGGGCCTTGGAGACACATCTGAAGAAGATGAGGTGGTTCACATCTGGCTGACAACTGACTCTTTTCCCTGGGTGGCACGTGCGAACCAGGGAAGAAAGGAACAATGTTGGGCACAAGAGTTCCCAGGAGGCAATTGGACAAAAAGCAGCTGAAGCAGCTGCTGGGGGAGGGACTGTGAAAAAAGCGTGTACAGGTATTTAGGGAGAAATTTTACTATGCCTTATGAAGAACTTGCCTGACATCCCCAAAGAAAAGTGAGTGAACTCTCCAGTATTCGAGATTGTTGGTAGATTTGGACCTAGTTTCTTTGTTTTGGGAGGCAGGCGACTGAGGAAGAGGGCTGAGTGCCGGGTCTGGCCCGAAGGTGACCTTGGAGTGCCAGCAGGAGCCAGAAAGGGCCCAGGTGCATCAGGGTTAACTAACTGGAAGGAATATGAGGGACCCGTTTCTCTTTCCAGGTCCAACGGTGTGAAGGCTTCAGAACAGGTGACCACGTGTCTGAGACTGAGACAAGGCCGCTCAGGGCTTCCTGGGAGGTAAATGAAGAGAGGTGAGTTACGTGCTGGAGCTTGGCTCGCCAAACTCTACCTTTAAACATGTGCCTTGGTTGTTTCACTCTTCTGTTTTTATTATAAAAGTAGTTCGTCTCATGAAATAGAACTTGGGAAATATAGAAAAAGTTAAAGGACAAGAAAAATCACCCGTTGCCCTACCCTCTGAATGCCCTCAGTGTAAACATTTTTAATATTTCCTTCAAGGCTTTTTGCTCTTTGCATAGATGGAGTGTGTGTGTGTGCGCATGCGTGTGTGTGTATATGACAGGAAGAGAGAAAGATTGATTTTAACATAATTGGATCCACTTCCCTAAAGAGCACTCTTTTCAAAGAAACAGGATTAATGTGATTTTTTAAGGTTCTAAAATGACTCATTTTAGAATTATTGAGCAAAAAACAAGTTGACTTTTCTTTATCCTGTCAACAGAAATCATCTAACATTCAGCTGCTCTCCTGTTGTTCAAGGGAAAGGATAATGAGATGTAAATCAAAAAGTAAATTAAAGGATAACGCGGTGTAAAGATATGAAGCGTAACTACGGCACACACTACGATAACTTCAATACTTAAATAATAAATTATTTCATAAACCTGAGTCTTCAGGTGCAATAGACCTATTTCTGACTAAGTTTAAAGAGGTAAAAAATCAGGTTTAATCACTTGAATTTTCTTTAAAAAATATTTCATTAATATTTTAGAGAGAGGAGAAAAGAAGGAAAAAGAGAGGGAGAGAAACATCACTCAGCTGCCTCTCGTACACCCACAACTGCGGAACTGGCCTATAACCCAGGCATGTGCCCTGTCTGGGGATCAAACTGGTGACCTCTCGGTTTGCAGGTCAGAGCTCAGTCCACAGAGCCACACCAGCCAGTGCTAATCACTTGAATTTTCTGATAAGCCCAGTCCTAAAATGGATTAGGATTCAATTTTCCCAGCACAGGTAACTTCACGTTTACACAGTGGCTCTCCTCAAAGAGGAGCAAAGGATGAAATCTGACATGCGTAAGGATGGAATCCGCAGTGTATTCAATGCACGGTAAATTACATTTTATGGTGAGTGAAGACTGAGAAACCAAATTCATTTTGCTACAGTCCCAGAGACACCAAAGTGGAATCTCAGCTCATTATTTTCTCAATGAGTTTGAGAAAGTACCCCAGGGAGACACATTTCCAGTCAACTCAATAAGCTCTCAAATCCCTGGGCTCTTGCTTATGCAGATCCTAACAGCTCGAAGATCCTAGGTTAACTCCACACCTTTCTAACTTGATTGTTTAGGCCGGGCAACTCTGAGAAGCCCTCCTTACGGTTTCAAAATCTTTGTTTACGAGACTCCTATATGTCCTCTGTATTATTCTGCCACCTGCAACAATATATTCTGCTTGATAACAATATTTTAAGTGTTTCTGAGTAATATGTTTACAATGGTTCAAAAACCCAGCATCTGTCTAAAGCACATCCAAGCATACATTCTTGCTCCTGCCCTTGCTCCTATGTCTAACAAATACTGCTTGTGTGTGAGTTTCTTTGTAACTTTTCCAAGATGTCTTCATGTAAACATAAATACTAATCTATTATGTCTCCATCCTTATTTTCTTACATAAAAGATAGCTTGATCTGCATACCGTTCTTGATATACATACTACTGCTTCACATATATACTGTAGTGGATAGACATACTGTTCTGTAGGTCTATCTGTTTGTGTTTTTTTAAAATATGGAATGCCTCACCAGTTTGCTTGTCATCCTTGCTCAGGGGCCATGCTAATCTTCTCTGTATTGTTCCATTTTTAGTATTTGTGCTGCTGGAACATCTGTACTTTGCTCTTTCAATTTTAACTTATCAATCATCACAAAAATCTTTCCATAGCTGTTCAGAGAATAATTCCTCATTCTCTTTTAAAAGCTCTTCAAATTTAAAAAACAAAACAAAACTATTTCATGTTGTCTCCTAATATATTTAACCAGTTCCACTAATGATAAACATTTGGGTTGTTTCCAATCTTTTGCTAGCCAGTGATGCTTTGTAAACATATGTTAATTTGCATTGTGTGCGTACATCCTTGGATAAATTCCCAAAGCCAGAATGGTTGGAAAAGAGACTGCACAATGCTGTAATGTTGCTAGAGGGTGTCAAATTGCTTTCCAGAGAGCTTTCACCTATTCATACTCCCACCAAAGATACAGAAGAAAGCTGTTTCCTCCCAGCCTGGCCAACGGAGAGATAAGGAGAGAGAGAAATTTAGGAAGGAGTCACTCGGCATCAAAAGCAACAAGAGGACAATATGAAAACTGCCAAAGGCACAGACAATATCAGACCTGACATCTCCCCAGAGGTTCAACCGGCCTATCCCGGAGAGGCCGGGGAACCTCTGTCAGGTCCACCTGAATGTGTCTAACACTCGTCACTCGGAACTCACCAAACCGGGAGCCTCTTCTTGGATTCTCACATTTAAAATATTGAGGGAGAGAGTGTATGCAGGTAGACTTTCACTTCTTATTTTACAAACTCTAAATTTGTATGCTTTATTTTATAATAAGGAGTACATATTTCTTTTGTGATTTTAAACCAATGATAGTGGACTTCAAAAAATGTAAGTCTAGTCACTTTACTTTTGGTGACTAGACTTTTCTTCTCTTTTATTTATCCATTCAATGAGACAGGATAGCAGAAGCCAGAAAAATTCCTGGGCAAGTAGAATAGGGAAACTTAGACAGATAGCCGAACACAAAGGCCGGGCAATTTACAGCCAGATACAGGTCACCTCCCTGGAGAAAACACCTAGGTTTCAGCTGTATTTCAGCTCCAGGCCCAGAAAAGCAGGAAAACCAGGTGGACACCAGAACCAACCGCAATGACTAACACCCCCTGTCACTGACCAATCAGTTGGAGACCTGGCCCTAAAAGGGCACACCTTGGAGAACTGCTGAATATTCCACTAAAACGCTGCCCTGGGAACTTCCCTAAGCTTCCCTCTGGCAAGAAAGAGAAAAAAAAGCCTCAAGACAAAAGACCCAGCACGTACTCTCCCTCCGGGGAGCAGCCCATACCATTCTCTTTCTCCTCTTCTCCCATTTTTGTCTTCACAGGCACATGTCTCCTAACCTCTAAGGCCATGGCATCTGCAGGCTGTCCCAGGCTAACCCCCTGAGCAGGTCCCAAAGACCCCTCTTCTCTGACTTCCCAGAGAGCTACCGTGGCCCAGCCTGGGCTTTCCTGCTGCTTCTATGCTAGGCCTGTCCTTGTTGCACTGTTCCCAGCTTTAATAAACATACCTTCCTAGTCACCTGGGCTCGTGTTGTGATATCTTTCCTACACAAAGTCAAGAACACACACACTACAGCTGGCCCCCCGCACGCCTGCTCCAGGCCAGGCCCCTTTCTGGTAACACAGTCACTTTTTATTCTGATGTTTTGTTCTGTTTTCCTGCCAGGTGCCTAGGAGAATGGTTTCAAATAACAACGCTACATGGAAATTTATCAAGGAAAAAATGTTACTTCTATTTCTTTATAAATTATTCCTAAGCATCGTCCCACCCCAGCCACCACTCTCATGCCCACTCCAAATTTTTAAACATAGAAATTAAGGGGAAAAAAACCTTTAATGAAATATTTAAGTAATAGTTATTAAAAAAATAATTGGAGTTGGGATACTATTTTAGGGCAAATTTACATGGATAGGATTTGTGATAGCTGGGTATATTTTTATGTGCTAGAGCGCACTTTCCAATCCACTCAAGTCCTTTAAATAAGTGCACGTTTGTATCCATTTTATGCCATTTGGAGGAAAATTGTACTTAAGTTAGAGGAGCTGCTTTTAGAATCACATTCTTGGTCCAATATAGAATTCCTTTGTTACCAACACCTTTACAAAGCATCCTCCGGGTGCCCTTGACCCGTGTGCATTCACTTCTGCACAGATAAGGACACTACACATTAATGCACCTGAGCCATCTTTCTGATGCAGCATCAGGCAAAAAGCCAGGTAACAAAGGAACATTGTATTGATCTCATGGGCACGCTTCCTGCCGGCTCAGCTCTCAGCTCACTTCCATCTCTGTCAACCAAGTGGCATTGAACAGCTATGCTCCAACTAAGTTGCATTTAGCTTTGTTGCTTTATGAAAATTAGTGAAACGTGGGAAGAAGTATAAATGCAAACACCAGTAAAGAGAAGTGTAGTTCTCTTACACTTAGAACAACAGAGACAGAGAAGATCATCAGGTGGGCAGAAGGTGGTGAATCTTCAGCCTTGATAATGACCACTTGTACTGAGAACTACATCAGTCACTCTTCTAACCGCTTTATAGGACTTCATTTACCAAATTCTCACAGTACTATGTGAGAAATGCATGATGGAGGTACTATCATTACCTGCTCTTACAGATAAAGAAAAAGGATTCATGAATCACAGAGGGGCACACACAGATGCATCCAAATCAGAAAGCTGCCTTTCGGACTTTGGATGGCCCGCTGCTCAGCTGGCATGGGGAAGCCCAAATTTAAAAGAACAGCTACTAAATGCGGGCATTCTAGATTCAGACTAGATCTAAGAGACAAGGCACGATCAGGAATTTTAGACTGTATTTTAGCTCTCTGAAAATAAAAACCTCTCCTTAAAAACCACACATCTGCTGTTGAATTTGATACACCTCACACTGGTGTGTGTTTTCAGGAGCATGTTGTGCAGGACAGCAGGAAGCCCTCGTGTGTGTGTGTGTGTGTGTGTGTGTGTGTGTGTGTGTGTCAGGGGGATGGGAAGCTGCGAGGGCCTGCGTCCGTGCCTGGGAAATGTTTGCTGCGGTGGAGAGTGAACCGGCCGTGGTGCAGAAGCCCTGCTGACCACACGCACCAGCACCAGGAAACAGGCCACTCCAACAAATCCCTCTGTTGATACCGGGGGAGGCTGTGCCCGCATCAGGGCGGGGAGTATGTGGAGAATTTCTGTGCTTTCCCCCCAGGGTTGCCATGCATCTAAAACTGCTCTAAAAAGTAAAGTCTATTTAAAATAGTAAAGCTCCCCACGTGTTTGTAGTGGAATCTGGAAAAATGTCATCTTAAACACACAGGTATGTGTATACACACATATTTATAGGCATATGTAAACACATTTACAAGTACATGGTAATAAAGGCAAAACATATGCCATACCTTACACGTACAAATACATTTATAGGTGCATGATGATGAAGTTGAAATGACAATGGTTGTTTCAAAACCCATGCGTTGTTTTTTTTTTCTGTTGAAGAGGCAAATGGAACTGCCCTCACAGTCTCGCCAAGACAATGTGTAAATTAAGGCCTTAGACAGATGCAGCTGGCAAACTGTCAAGTGACCCAAATCTGGAGTGCCTGCACTGTCTCCTCCTCAGAGATTCTGTTCTTATTCACCATCTCTTTTTAATGGGGCAGTAGCTTTAAGACACCAACCCTATGACAACATTTGCCTGGAATGCGACTGTACACACGCCTAGTTCAATCAGATCCTTCCATGGCTTGCTAGCGACCTGTGACCTGGGTGGTGTGGTTTGGTGGAGTGCAAGGTTGGACTGGGTGAGCCAGATTCTCTCTTTCTCTCTCTCCCTCCTCTTCTCTCTCTGGACCTTGACTCAAGAAACTAGGAGGCAACTTTCCAGGCAGCTATGGGCAGTATTGCTCAAAGGTAGTTTGGGGGCCCAAGTCAAGATGATGACAAACTAAAGACCCTCTGCAAGCTGAAGTCGTGGAAGGAGGGGCCACTATCAGTAGGTGGGGGAAGCCGGAAGGGACAGAGAACGTCCATCTATGCAGAGAAGCCACAAAGCCAGAAAAGGACAAAGAGCTTGTGCAGCCCTGCCTTCTTTTGTGTTCTGCTTGCCCTGGGCTCCTGGGCATATATTCCTTTAAATTTTTTTTCTAATGAAGCAGCCCAGGTGCCCCTTCTACCCCCCCTTTTTTTGCTTCTTGTTCCTAAAAAAGACTACACAGGAGCAGCAGATAGCAGGATAAATAGTCTCTGACCATGGAGAATATAAACTTAGAAAAAAAGAAGACAAAACTACCCTATACAAACAAACAAACAAACAAACAAACAAAAAGACAGGAGGACTCTACAGATACAGGGGTCCAGGGAGTATACTGGCCAACAGACGTCCCACCCAGAAGTCCCCAGGCTGCCGCTCAGGACAACCCTGTGAGGTACTTGGTCTTTACCTGGACGACCCTGATCTTCAGGCCCAGGCTTGCTTGACGTTCAGCATATTTTCTAAAGGCAGCGAAACCTACTGTTTACTTCAGAAAAATTTTCCTTCCAGTTAAAAAATTTTTGGTGTTTTAATAAGATAAGATTCGTGCAGTTATTTGCTATGTTTAAGTTTTTTTTAATGCATGTATTTATTTATGCATGCCTTGCCTTGTTCCAGCGAATTTTAAGGATGACTTACAAGAATACGCAAAATCCAATCAGGTGGCACAAAGTGACAGCAAGGAGAAAGAAGAGCAGGATGTGGACACAGAAATGGTCTGGAGACTTGGACCTCTGCAAAGCTCACTTCTGTGGGACACTTCGCTGCTGGGTGGGTCACGGAACACTGAGTAGTGTCACTCACTATTTAATCACTCTTAAAACCAGAGAAAGGTCAGGGCTCATCTTTTGCATGTAAAAAATCAAATTGAAACTGGAAGAAAAAATACTGGCTTAAATCAGAGAAAATATAACAAATGTATATAAACATGCATTTAATAAGCTGAATATTTCTGTTCCTTTATTTTGGTAAAAATGGTTCCCTTATTTCAGTAAAATAGTTGTTACATTATCACAAAAAAATTTAAATTAATCAGCATTATATGATATTAGAGAGCCATTGAAAATTCTCTGCAATATCCTTTTTACAATTCAATATTAACATATTAGGTGAAGAACAAAGATGTTTAAAGTTGAGTTAAATTCTCTACACAAATGTAATTCTTATAAAACAGCAAGAACTTTTCTAGGAGCCCTGGTTTGGAGAGGCTTCCAGGGTTTCAATGCTCGTGTAGACACGCACATTGTGAAGACATAGGGTTGGTGTCTTCTATTCATACTGGCCCTGCAGTAAGAAAAACTTCTTCTGATACACTTTCCAACTACGAAGTTACTGCTTAGAGGGTAAGAGTTTGGGCTTCAGAGTCAGGCAACACAGTACACAGATTTGATGCATGGTAGCTGAGTGATAGCTGAGGCAAATTACTTGAAACTCTCTACTGAGTTTATTAACTATAAATAAAGTTAATGGGTTGTATGGAAGATTAAAGGATATATTGCACAGTGAGCTAAGTAGCTGACACCCACTGAACCTGATAAATGATGCCAGTTACAGTAGAAAATGATCACCTAGGACATTTCACTTTGATGTGATACAGGTTTCCCTTTTCTCAGTGTCTTGTCAAACATTTCTGGTCTCACTTTCCCAATAACAAACTTTTATTTAGTTGTATTATTGTAAATTCATTTGAATGTTCTTTTATGGTGCTGACATGGAAACTAGCTTCATTGCTTTATCATCTTACTGATTGTTCTCCAAAATGTATAAGCAGTGATTTTTTTCCACTGTTGGATTTCTATGAGAAATTGTGCTTTGTTTCCATCTTGCTTTTTTAAAAAAATATTTTTCTTTTTCATTCAGCCCCAGATAAATGCAGTTAATCATGCCAACAGATGTATAAAGGCCCATCTGACTAGCTCCATCATGTGTCTAGAATGAGTTTTACAATTTCAAAAGTCGACTTCATTGCCACTATGACCTCGAATAAGAATAGCTATCTGGTAGTGTATTATCGAATGCTCTGGAAACTAGATGTAAATCAAGAAAATATGAAAAACTTTCATTTAAAAATATTTTGGTGGGGGTGAATTCGGTAAAAACTCTAGGCTAACCACAATTCGGCATTCCAACTAGGCCTTTTGGGGAATGCAGGAGGGGTGCAGTTAGTCATCTCACTGGGATAATGGCATAAAGCAGGGCTCTCCCAGGAAAACCGGAACTTCTCATCACCTCAGCCAAAACTGATCATGTACCTCCCTAAGGTAGAAATGGAACAAGCTGGGCTTCAAAGAGTTCTCCCTGGATCATAGTCTCTGCCGAATGATCTCACACTTTATTCTATGTTCAGACTAAATTAGTGAGTGGTGCTTGGAGAATCTAAGCTGCACCTCCGCCCTTATACCACCAGACTGAGTTCTAACCCCCATTAGAAGAAAAACGCCATGATAGACACAAAGACCCAGCGAGGCAAAGTGAATAGGACCCAGAGCTGTGGCTCCAAGTGTTTGGGTATTTATGGCATCTTTGAGAATGTAATGAAAGCTCTTAACTCTCCTCAAAGAAGAGGGCACACACAAACAGCCCCCACCACGTGGTGTGCAATCCAGGTGCCACAGTGTGTCGGATCTCCCCCTGGGACCCAGGTTGGAATCTCCAACCTAGGAACACACAGCACAGGAGAAGGGGAAAGGAACCAACACTTGTCGATCACTCACACACACTTCTTGTGTAGTCACAGCCACCTACTTCACAGATAGGGAACTGAATTCAGGAATTAAGATCTCACAGCTAGTTAAGTGGAAAAGGAAAACGTCAAATTCAGGATTACGTGTCAATAAATCCCATAATCTGAGTACTCCTTAGACACAAAAATTAATATATATTTATACATCTATCTGGAAAGGAATTTTATTATGAAATTGTGAAAAACAAATACAAGCATAGATCTTCATCAAAGTCCTACTTGCTAGAGTTGGTAACACTTCTTCAAACTGGAAAGAGATTACTAGGGCAAATAACAGTAAGCATTTTTTAAAAAACTCAACTGATAAATGGTGTCAAGGTAGTTTTAGAGAAATCCAAGGTTAATAGGTTGCCGATGAATTACCAGGTGACTTTTGGTGTCTCACTGTATCCCTGGGTTAACTTGAAGGAAAACAACTATGTCTTGATCTGTGTCACTTGAAGCCCATGCCAGCCCAACTACTGACCAGGGTGACCCTGTGCTGGATGGTGGCTTGGACAATGTGTTATTTTCAACCTATGCAGTGTTTCTTGTGCTGGTAACTGCAAATCCCCCTCTCAGCAACCTCTGATTATCACTTCCTAAAACGCCTGATCGTATCCTGAAGCTAGCGTGCCCCCTGAGACATGGAGTTAGATTTGCCTGTGAACTTGGTGGATCACATCGGTATGTACCCAGCAATGCCTAGCACACAGTGAGTGCTGGACAGATGTCTCGCTGTTTTCCTTACAGTCTGTACTGCAGACCACGACCGGATGAGCTTTGTAACCTGAAGTATAGCTCCAAGTATGGCAGTTGCTCACATACGACTACCATGGCTTCTCATTATTTTTGTATTTTTCTATAATTATTTATTGTTTTAGAATTTATCTTTTCTCTCTCTCATTCTAAAATCAAGCTCCGAGGAGACAGAGGCCAATGCGCTCACAGTTGCCTTGCTGACCTATATAGTAGGCATTTAATTCTATCTATTGCCTAACTGTGTGGATGATTACTACAGGAATGTAGTCAACATGATTTTCTTTCAATTTTTGAAGGACAGACATAATTCACACACTGTAAGACTCACCCTTTATATTTACAAAGTTGTGCAAGCATCACCACTGACTCTTTCATTGCCCCGACATGAAAACACATACCCAGTGGCAGTTAGTTATTCCCTCCTCCCCACTTCCCAGCCCCTGGCAATGGCTAATTCCCTTTGTCTCTATAGATTTTCTCCACTCTCTCCTTTCATGTAAGTGGAATCACAGACTATGTAGTCTGTGACTAGCTTCTTTCACTTAATGTTTTCAAGGTTCGTCCACATTGTAGCATGTGTCAGTAGCTCCTTCTTTTTTAATGTCCGAATAATATTCCAGTGTATGGATCTAATACACTTTTTGTTTACCCATTCTAGATGCTTTTTTCCCCCATTACTTTTAGAGAGAATGGGGGTGGGGAGAGAGGAACATCAGTTGCTTGCCTTCCTGTAGGAGCCTTGACCTGCTATCAAGTCTGCAACCTGGGTATGTGCCCTGACCAGAATCCAACTGGCGACCTTTCCATCTTCTACCAGATGATGCTCCAACCAACGGAGCCACACCGGTCAGGGCAACAAGATGATTTTAAACATCCATTCCAACTTTAGGATCCTATATTCAAGTGAATCGCTACCACCACATTTCTTAAAGTAAATCGGTAAATCATCAGGCTTCATAGTGTTTCCGTGCCCTGCAGTTTTCAAAGCTTATCACAGACCCCAGGAGCACAATCTTGTTGTGACTCACCGAGATTACTTCCCGAACTTTTCAAACAGTAAAATTAGACTCTTGACCTTTATTTCAGGATTCTGCTTGTCCCCCAACCCAATCTTCTCCCCAGTGGCCATCTGATTTCTTGAAACTCCTCTCTCTGGAATAAGGTACCTTTACAGTTCTGATCGTCCTGCTAATTGCTCTCAGCAGATGCGGGTTGACTGAGGTTGGACGGGGCATTCTCCGCATCTCTGTCTCCACTGTCCCTCTGCTCAGTGCACGTGCACCTTCATCAAACGTCCCCCCAGCCTCCGCCAAAACCTTCCTTTGTTTTTTAAGGAAATTCAGGTAAAAGGAGGCGTGGGGGAAATGGTATTTTTGACTTTCCTCACAATCCAGACGTCGGAAAGAAAAAGGATTTCCTTTGGGCTGCTGCCACGACTCTGATCTTTTATGATGATAAAAATATTTCCTTCTAAAAAAAAAAGTTATGGGAAAATCATACCACTTCAGCTTGGAAGCTACACCTACTCTAACTTTCGAGTTGAAAAGAAAAAAAAAAGGGAGGGGTTTACCTCTCTCTCCCAGTTTTCTTCCTGACAGCTCAGGTCCGGCACCCGGGAGCCAGGGGTCCGCGGCGCCGCTCGGAGCCCGGCGCGGAGGACTACAGCATCCAGAGGGCTCTGGAAACTCCAGCAGCTCCGAGCTTGTTGGCTGCTGCGCTTTCCCCGAGGAGTGACGCGCCGAAAACAACCCCTGATTGGCCAGGCCCGAACCGAATTCTCCATTTATGGACAGACTGCCCTGCCCGAGCCGAGGCTCAGCCAGAGGAGTACGGAGTAAGTGGCCGAAGAAAGAGGAGCAAGGCAGGGCAGCCGGGCAGACGCGCCGAGAGCGGCGGACTCACCTAGGCGGGCGGGGGGCTCCCGGCCCGAGTGGACCCCGGCGCGCGGCAGCGCGCGCTCCCGCTGCTAAGGAGCCTCCGCGTCGCCCTCACCTAGAGATCCCGTCTGGATGGAGTCCCCCCAGGGTTCCCATTGGCTCCTGTGAGTGCTTGGGTGTCGAGAGCCTGTTTCTGGCGAAGGGAACCAACTTTTGAAGTTCGCCCAGCCGACTGCGTGCCAGCAGCCCCAGCTCCCCGGCAGCCGGACCCGGCAGAGGCGCGACCGCGCCGCGAGTCACCATGGTGAGTTGGCCGCGCGGCGTCCGGGACGCCCGAGCCTGGGCTGGGGCGGGAAGCCTCGGCGCTGGGCACCCACCTTGGGCGCGCTGCCCAGGCCAGGGGAGGAGAAGGTGGACGCTGGAGTGGGCACGTCGCGATCTCGTATTTCCTGCTGCTTTCCTTAACTAGGGACTGGGGGAGAAGGAGTGAGGGGCCAAGGAAAACTTTCTTCAAGTCGCTTTCGGCGTCGCGAAACTTTTTGCGGCCGGGTTGCGATGGCTGCCAGCTGTCGGAAGCTGGAGTGTGGGGAGACGTGTGTGCAGGGGCACGGTCCTCGGAGCGAGTCCCTTTCTTTTCTACTGGCAAGACGGGGCAGCCTCCTGTCCCCCTTTGGTCCCACCGGCCGGGGCGCTTATCGCCCGCACGTAGGCGCGGGAGCCGGCGGCAGCGCCCCCGGGTCCCCGCACGCCCCTCCCGCCCGCGGGCACCGGAGCGGACCGCCTGCCTCTCCCACTCTGCGCGGCCGCCGCCCGACTCGCGCCCGCAACTGTCCCGTGGCCCCCGGCGCGCTGGCTGGGACCGCGCGGGCAGCACAAAGGCCGGCGGGCGCGCCAGGTAGGGCGACCACCTGGCGGAGGGCAGGCACCCGAGAGTGAAAGTGACCGAGGGCAGCTCCGTGGGTCGCTGGCCTGGACCAGGAGCGGAGCGGGCCTGGGGGGTCTTGGAGCCCAAGAGGCGAAGTAAACACCCCCACCCCCACTTCCACCCCTTCCCCGGTGCGAGGTGACTGGCCCTTTTCGGGTGTACGGTGAACGGTTCGCACGGGAGGAAGTCGAGGTTTTTGTTCCTTTTCCGTTGGCACTTTGGGAATACCTGGAAGTGGCTGGCTTTTTCTCGGACGCGTTTTTAGACTTTTCCTCCTTCGCCCCAACTCCCCTCACCCCCACCCCGCCCCCAGCAACCTTACCGCGTCCCTTGGGCTTTGGTGTACTTTACTTTCCGAAGCACAAAAGCAAGGACTCTATTTAGAAGCGACTGGCAGTCCATCAACAGAAAAAAGATAAAATTCTACCGCAAAGCTTCATCGTTTCCACGCTTGGTTCTTTTCAAACAGTCCTGCTTAGGTGGATGAACTAACTGGTCCTCTTCTGGTTGGTTTGGTTTGTTAATGACTGTGAAAGTGGAGATAAGTAAAAATGATAACCAGAACAGCACGACTGCAAAAATCGATCCCGCGTGACCAGCCTGAGGGACTTGCAGCCAAGGCCCATCGGAACCTACATACAAAACTCAAAAGCAGCACTTGACCTAGTGCTGAGTTTGTTCAAAGGAATTACATTACCTTTGCCCCTACCTAAGAGGACACTTGACCTCTAAATAAATTTCCTCTTTCAGTTTTAGGGTTTAAGAATCAGTCTGTCCTAAATTATTTTTGGAACCCCTATAAAGAACCATTTACTTACACTGAGTGCGTTGTCTGGGTGGAGCTACCTAATGGGGCCACTGCCTAATTGGCCACTTAAACTTAAGCAATGTGATAGTCCTAGTACTTTAGGATTGCTATAATTATTTTCCATGGTTCAGTATTTCTCAATCAATGCATTTTTGTCAAGTGCTTAAAGAATCTTTCTGAATTTAAATACTTGAGCCAGTGATACCTTGAGAAAATTAACTTTCCCTTAGTTAACTTATTTTTTCATGCTGGGCAGACTAAAAGCTAGTCTAGGGTACTACTTTGTTTTGTGACTCGGGGAAGTTGGTGCTCTGCTGGCCCCATTGCTGTGGAAGTAGCCGATTGGGCGAATGGACGTAGAGGAGACCCTGAAGGAAGGCCGTGGTCTCCAGAGTTGTGTCGAGTATGTGCGGGAGGCCTGAGTGCTGCCTGCCTGCTGGTGGCTTCCCTGCCCTCTGCGCGGATGGGCTGCCTGGACAGTATGTGGGCATCGGACAGGGCTGCTGAGGCCAGGATTCCCTGACAGAAAAGTTGAAACAGCTGGCTCTCCTGAAATAGGAGATGTGCCATCGCTCGATCTACTGGATCTAGAGTAATTTGGCAAAAATTAACAAATAATTTCTACACTGGCTTTAAAAATTAAATAATGTGTATTTATTTAATACACATTATTAAATACGTGAAGTTGCCTCACAACAGAGCATTAGTCTCTTTATTAAAAATATTTATTTATTTTTAGAGAAAGGGGAAGGGAGGGAGAAAGAGAGGGTGAGAAATATCCATTGGTTGCCTCTCTTACACGACCCTGCCATGGGGTCTGAACCCGCAACCCAGGCATGTGCCCTGATGGGGCATTGAACCCATGACCTTTTGCTTTGCAGGATGATACCCCATCCAACTGAGCCACACTGGTCAGGGTGAGCATTAGCCTCTTAAATAGGCAGAAACCTCAGTTATGATGTTTTCTGTTTATATGAGACCCCTTTAAGCCAAATGAGGCCTCACATCTGTCTGGGTCTGCCCAGCTGCATTCCTCAGCTGCTCAGAAGCGGAAGAGAAGGGGCATTGCTCTCCGTGGGTGTGGCTGAGGGCTAGCCTGGAGAATAGAATTCACCAGACCCTGGGCTGGACTGCAGGGAGAAGGAAGAGCACCTGTGCAGTGGAGATCTCTCTCTCTCTGTCTCTCTGTCGCTCTCTGTTCATGGCCTTTTAGGAAGTCTGGCAGCTCTCCATTAGGAAGGCTCTCCCCAGGTACCCAAGGCCCAGCCAAGACCCATTCAGTTGTGACTCACAAGGAAGATTTCCGTTTTCAGACTTAGGAATACAATGTACAGTTTATATGGACCTGATAGCTTCCTTCTGAAAACTCACTTTGGGATACTTTTCTCCATCTTTGGAGAATGAAGAACACTAGCAGGCAATAGAAATTTTTTGGAGACCTGAAGAATTGAAAAAAATCTCTCATGTCTTTATAATTTTGTGTATGTTAGGGTATGACAATCTGTTTCGACTTCAATTAAAGTCAAGGTTTAAGTTTTTAAGGTTTCCTTCATAGACTCTGGCTTTTTCATTGTCCACAAAGGACGCTCTCCTTTTGTGGCTATGATCAGTTTGTACTGCTGACGGACTAGAACCCAAGTTATAACTCTGCTGTGTACTTTGGACTCAGAAATTATGATTCATAGGTCCTCTGTGACTTAAGATAGTCTGAAATATTTAAGTAAATATGAATTGGCTATCACCTCAGAATATATTCAAGATATGTTCCCCTTGTCCTTGCTTACATGTTTCTTGTGGGTAAGCTGGATATATTACACATAAAAATACACAGAAATAGACTTATGGACTTAGAAATCTGATGGATAGCCGACTATAAGGTAGATAAATTTCTGTGAGTCTTGAAGGCATGACATGTATTAGAAAGTCTGGAATCCATTTCAAATATGTTCTCTGGGAAGGTAACCTAGTTCACTCCCTCTAATTAGTTTATCAGACTGCTAAGTAGTTTCCTGGCCAAAACAACACAATAAGACAAAACAAACCCAGAAAGGAACAGGATAAAGTGCAAAGAAGTTTTGATGGAGGCAGAGGGGTGAGGGAAAGATTTGGAGTCCCGGACATTTTCTAGGGGCATTGTGGGTAGGCCAGCCTAGTGGGAACTGTTTGGCCAGCCCAGGGCAGGGATGGAAGCCCAGTGGGGCGGTGAATGGAGAAGGATGGAAAAGTGGAACAAGCAGGCATTTGCAGAAGCTGACAACCATCTCCTCCATCGTTTTGCCTGGGATCTCAGCTCTATCAGTGGTTGCAAACTCAAATGTCTACGGAGGTCGGGATAGGTTTTGATGGAGTGAGGTTGGCCTCTGGGGCGTAAATATGAAACGTATGCCCCATCTAAAGAGGCTCCATTACTTGACCCTCAGCCATGGTTACATTGACCATGTTACCAAGTTGTCTTTTTTTAAAGAGAAGCTGAAAATCCAGATTTTTATACCAGACTGGCCAATTTTTAAGTGTTCTTTCGATCATCAGGGAGAGGCCAAGCACACACCTACAGGTCGGCTGTTGCAGCCATTCCAGTGTAAAGGTCAAAGTGGGGGCCTGCAAGCCACTGCACTTCCTTCCTTTCTGTCATCAGGAGGAATGTCTAAACTTTAGCCCCATGGCCAGCAGTGCTGTTAGGTTTTTATTGATAAATCAACGCCTTCCCACTGGGTTTCCCTTAAGAGAGCCAATTAGTGCCAAGGTCCATGGAATCCCTGAGCTATTAAACAGGGGAAATTAGTATCCAGCTGCCACTATTTGGAGCTATCTAAACACCAGTGAGATAGTTTTGTGAGTGCTGGCTATAAATTGAACTTCTCTTTCTTAACCCGTCAACTCCCTCCTCCAGTGAAAATATACCCTGCCCACCAATAGTGTATAAGGCACCTCTTTTCTTGGTCCTTTCCCAGCCCAATCTCATGAATTCAAGGTCTATTTTCAGGGGTTATTCTTGGGGCCAGATAATTAACAGTTTGGTAAATGGGACTTGGAATGTAACTTTTTGCTCCTGTATTTAATGTTA